AAGAGTCCTCGCTTTCACCGCATTCCAATAAAGAAAAAGGCAAATCGAGGTAAGGTGTTGATCAATGCAAGCAACCGCCACGTGGGAGCATATTCTTAGCCAGGAAACCGGCTCGGCATGACATCCGATACCAGATCTCGCGTTGCACGCGGCAAAGTGAGTTTGTTTTGGCATCGAGATTGAGCAGCTGCATACAGCAGCCGACGAGTGGAAGTGGAGTCGCTGCGGTCAGCACGCCGCAGGCTAACACCCGAGGACGCGGAATTCTGGATAACTGCTGGGCTGAGGACGCGTCTTCTCCAGAAACGACGGTTGTCGGGAGAAAATTGCCTCGGAGCGGCCCGCTCTACAGTCAGCTGGAAGGACTAGGTACGATTCAGGCTTGGTAGTAATCCGCAAAAGTCATGGTACTCCCCCTCTCCATGTTGCAATAGCTTGAATGTTCCCTGGCCACACGTGGTGTGAGACAGAAAAAGTCCCCTCTCAATAGTCGCGCTCTCTATCATGCGCCTTGACTCTTGCTACCAATCCCTAGGTTGCCATGTCTCAGTCTGGGCTGTAGCTCGGGGCATGGGCCGGAGTCAAGTCGAGAGCTCCTGCCATCCTCGGAAATGTCGATTTGTCCATGACTCGTCTGGCAGCTGGTTGTTTCCGGTCTCATGCGATCCACTCTCTTGTTGGACATTGCGAATGCTCACAAGAGGATCAATTTTTCTCTTGTCTCTCCCTGGGATGTGGCGGTGGTCGCTGTAGGATTACATACCTCGCTGTTGGATAAGCCAAGACAAGTGTCATTATACTTGCTTTCAACAATGATCGGCTTGGACATGACAGCTTGACCTGCATTCAAATGCGCGCTTAAAGCGGTGTGCTTCGTGCTCGTTCTACGAGGTCCATATGCTTTAGAGTGAAACAGTGGAAGCACAGGTAGCCTGGTGGAGCCTCTCCGAGCCTGGCATCTTCACTGGCTGAGGTTGGACCTCAACGTGCCCTATGTATGTAGCGGAATAATCAGCGAGGCTCGTGTGGAGAACGGTCTGGTGTTGCGTTGTTTTCGGCACTCGGGTTAATTGGACCACTGCTCGCTTCATCGCCGTCGACAGCAGGTGAGGAAGGTCCAAGAAGTTGTACGTAGGTAGTCTCAAAAGTGGAGTCAGTACTCAGAGCGGAGTGCAGAGAAGGCTTGAGTGCCAAGGGAGGTGGAAAAGTTCTCCCGACGGAGTCGCGCAGCGGAACTGCTCGCTTCCGCCCTAGGCGGAAAAAGAACGTCACCTCTCCCGCTACCCCTCCATCTTACAACTCTCTTCTATTGCATCAACAACCACGCGGCTGCGCATCATCAGAAGCATGAAAGGGCAAGAAATCCCCGGAATCAGACGATGGCCAAGTCTGCGCATCGTTACGAGTCGGCTCGAAGGCCGTTGCTTTTGCCTCACATGTGGTGTTTACGCCGAAAGTTTAAAGTCAACCCTTTTGAGCAATCGAAGCGCAGCGCCAAACGCGAAGAACCTGAGAACGACACCACCGACCCGCAATTGTGACTACCGTTCAAGGGGCCTTGCCTGCTCCTCGTCCCATGGCGTCTCGCCAAGTTCTCGTGTTGTTGCTTCGTGAGCTTGGTCGAGACATGCTCCTCTTCACGATTTCATACGCCCAGCCGGCTCTGTCCGCATTGTGACACACACATGTGCCACATAGGTATAGCGAGGAAGCTTCCATCTTCGCAGGGACGCCGTTACAGCCCAAACTTGAGGAGACGCTTAACCTTGCGTTTGCTTCCGGGAACATGTTTGCAGTAAACACCTCGTGCGGTGTCAGTACATTTCTAGAATGACTCGGGCCCATCCGTCCCTTCTTGAAGTATCTGGGCAAACATTCGTTCCTTTTCTTAGTCCTTGTCGACCCCGATTCCATCTCCCACAGTTGGGACTCGACGATCATGTCCAAAGACGGCAATCTGGCTGCGACCCTTCACGATGCAGACACGCTATCGCCGCTCCCAAAGACCCTCACGCATGGCCTTCCGGTAGTGGGCTCATTTGCACTGCTGTCGCTCGTTGCTTCCAGCTCATTATTCCTCATTCTCTTCTACCAACTCTTTCTCAAATGGCGAAAAAAGCCGAAAGGAGTTCAGTTGCAACTCTATTACCTTATTCTCAACCTGTTATTCGCCGACATACAGCAGTCTCTCTGCTTCGTTCTCAACCTCAGATGGGCCGCGCTCGACAAGATTGATGTTGGCAGCACCGAATGTTGGGCGCAGGCGTGGTTCGGTTCAGTTGGGGATTTGGCGAGTGGTGTGTGGTCCTTCACGATTGGCGTCCATACATTTGTGTCGCTTGCCCTAAATCACAAGATCAGCCCGACTGTGTTTGTCTGCTGGGCCATCATCAACTGGACGTTTGTTTACATTACGTCTCTGATTCCCATTGCAATGCATCCGCATAACCTCTACGTCCGCGCTGGGGCCTGGGTAAGGAGAACTCCCTACACTCCGTCCCTAGACTGACATTTTGTAGTGCTGGATCAATCCGAAGTTTGAGGGGCTCCGGCTATACTCGCATTATTTCTACATTATGCTGGCCGAATTTGGCTGTGTCGTGCTCTACGCGGCGCTCTTTCTCACGCTACACTTTCGCATCAAAAGGGGCCATTTCCTCTCGCACACGGTACAGCACCTTAAGCGCGTCTCTCGCCTTATGATTGTCTATCCCGCCGTCTATGTGGTGTGCACTCTTCCACTGGTGTACGCCCGCGTCGCCAGTTTCCGGGGCCATCCTGTCGGCCTCACCCATTTCTGCGTTGGTGGAGCCATGATTACCAGTAATGGCTGGATCGATGTGCTCGTCTACTTTCTGACGCGTCGCGTTTTACTTTTTGGCGACCTTCCCGAAATCAGAACGCAGGCCCAGGCCGCGGAGCAGGCCATCGACACATTTCACACGACTTTTCCATTGGCGAGGAACAAGAACCGACTCGGGACTGTCACCACGATCGAAGCGACTCGACATTGCTCCCTCTTCAACCAGAATAGTCGCGTCGGCCTTGGCGGACTGCAATTCTCAACCATGCGAACAAAGGAGAGCTTGGAGCTGTTCTTTACGCGTTCCAAACCGCAAGAGAGTCCAGTCATGACACAGCTACATCACAAAGGCAGCAAGGACTCGTTGTCTGTGAAGCTAGAGACAACAGTCACAGTGCACAGCGAGCCGGCTGATTCGGCAACAAGACGCATCATCCGGGAAAGACCGCCATCGCTAGCTACCGATGTGGAAAGAGATGCCGAAAGAGGAGACACTCTTGTTGAAGGCGAGGAGAAAGATGTGCTTGACCACGTTGAGACCAAATTATAGCGACGCCTGCGTCCCGCAACTTCGACACCCACAATCATTTCCTTGGTACCATTCTTTTCATGTCCATTTCTTGTCCATGTAAGGTCTGGGCTTGTTGGTTTCTGCGGCATGCACAGAAGCCGCAGAACACGCGTAGAGTTCATGCGCATTAATGTCGGATGTATGGGAAGCATTCAAGCTTTTGGGGGAGCATCTGATTTTCCGCAAAGAAGAGTATCCAATCACCAACTCGCGCACTATCGCATTGCGTTTGCCATGGCTTTCTGCACCAGCTTCAGAAATGGCATGCGACGCAAACCCAACTTAGATTTTTCTAGCATTTTGTAAACAAGAGTATAGAGCATGTTGATAAGAATTCCTTAGCCACTTGCGATCAATTGAGCGGCTGACCCTTGAGTTGGCCAAGGTGACCCAATTGTCGTTCCCGCACCTCTCTCAACCTTCTAGAATCTTTCGGAAGCCTTGACCCCTCACCACCGACCCTTCATTCCCAACACCGCAAGAAACCTACGCGACGCCGTCTCACAATCGCGGTTCCCAGAAAGCCAGAAGACGGCCTCGAGACGGGACACCATCGCTCCCGCCCTGCACCCCTCTCCCACATCTCATCCTCTCATCCAACGAACCCCAGTCGACGAGACAGAAAACCACGCGAGCACGGCTGCAGCCATCCACCTTAACCGCGCTGCTTAGGTGCTACTCCGGCGCGGCCGTCCCCACCCAGCGTTCGCGCTGTCCCGCTTTTTGCCTCCTGCTCGTGTCGGATGTCCCGAAAGTGAACCACGTTGGTGGGTGCGGTTCGATGCGGGGCGCGGAGTGCACTGCGTGTGCTGGGCAAGCGCGCGGAAGACTGCGCGACGAGGCGGGAACATTGGGGCTTGGCTTCAGTTGCGGAATTGCTGCGATGAAGCGTTCCGCTGTGGCTTGCGAGGGTGTGTTGAGGAGTGCGGGCAGCACTCGTGCTCTGGAGAGCGGATTTAGAAGGACGTGTCCACTGGAGCGAGGCCTAGTAGCAGAAGTCGTGGCACCACACAACTACGACTGCTCCCTGTGACTCTGGTAAAAAGACTTTGCAGAATCTAGGAGTAAGTGTCTAAGGCGCTCGAATACTCCCTAGATGCATACATTTTAACATAGAAATTTGAGCGTTGATCGCGTCGACGTAGTTGAGGAAGGCGAGTCGGGAGCAGTCGAGCTTGCGTAAAGTTTTGGCAACTACCAGTCGAATACTCACCGGATGCTGCACCAATGAACCAGAAACAAAGTTGCCGGTATTTGGAATCGATGTTATCGTCAGATGAAGGTCTCTTAGGCGCTAGAACAAAAGTAGGATGTCACAATGGTTGTAGTTTAGCTGTCTGAAAATCAGGACCGAGAAAAAAAAGTTGATGTACGGAAGTCGAGGAGAAGCATAGAGCACGTCGACAGTTTAATAGACCCAACAATAAGTTTTGCAAACAAAAAAACATGGAATGAAAAGGTCTCATATTTCCACACAGCTTACACTCCAGTTTGGACTGCCCTCGGTCAGCTGTGGTCGAAAAATCGGAGTTCTATTGAGCTGGTTTAGTCAGTTGCGTCACTGTGGTTGCCTGACCTTTGTTGTGCAGCATATATTTTAAAAAGACTGCATTATCTCTCATCAATGGCTCAATGGTCTAGAGGTATGATTCTCGCTTTGGGTTACAACAGCTCGATTGCGAGAGGCCCCGCGTTCGAATCGCGGTTGAGCCCTTTCTTTTGCACTTTTTTTGGCCCCTCCGAATACCGTGCAACGCCAAAACACTTTTGCGGCATGTGTAGAGCAGACAAAACGAGCTTGGGAAGAAAAAAGGTGCGGTGACTTGCGACATTAATTGATATCTCATTTTATAGTCGCCAGGGGAAAGGGCAACAGCAGGTGAGAAAGGATATTGAACCTTGGCTCAGCTTCACGTCGTCGTCGTCGCACCATCAGAAGCAAGCGCTTGAATGCTCCCTGTGACTACCCATCAACAGAGAAATTCTCTCTATGTTGAAGGCATCAAGCACTTGAGAACTCCACGTCTCCACGTGTTTTAATTTGGCGACAGAGATCTTGATTCGCAATTGCTTTCGTCACCCACTGTGAGAGGTTCTCTATTCGTCGAGATTTCGGTCAAAGGGTGTCTAGAGCTTGGATGCTGGGAGCTGGCCTCTCTCAGAATGCGCGGAATCCTCTGATAGCCTTGCAGTTTTCAATTTTGCGAGTATCAATCGACGAACACAAGCCTAGCTACCGAAACACTTACTCTACCCCTTGCCCGTCCTCAGCGTGTGTACACATGGCTACCCACATCACCCACGCGCATAAAGGAGAGGCCACACAAACCACACCTGGAGAGAAATGAGGCAAGCCGCCGATGGCGTCCACATGACCACATTCACCAACCACCGCGTCTCCATTTCCCGCCCCCTCCCAACCAACCCCCTGACGCCGCCAGCACCCCAAAAACCAACTCCTCAAATCCAATCAAGCAAGCAACCAACGGCTTCGTGGTCTAGTGGTATGATTGTCGCTTCGGGTCCTTCCCGCGTATTCTACTGCCTTCGCTCCCTTATAAAAGAGCCGGTGGATGGATGCAATACGCCCAAATGTGACAGGCCCCGCGTTCGAATCGCGGCGGAGCCCGGTTTTCTTTTTGGATGGCGGTCTCACGCGCCGGGGGGAAGTGTGTGTTGTTTGCTGGGGATTCGTGTCTTTTTTACGTGGTGGGGGCGGGAGGGGAGGGAGGTGGTGGGGTCAGGGGCGGCGCGGCGCGGCGGAGTGGAGTGGAGACGCGGTGGACGGGGGAGCCGAGGCTGCAGCCGGATCTCTTCCATTCTTTGCGCAGCGTCGGTATTTTTTGGACGGAGAGACAGGTGCAAGCGCGCATCAGGAGAGAAGGGAGAGGCGCACCACAGCGCAACCAAAGTGAAAGGAACGGGCGAGGAAGGGGGCATGAATGTGTTGAGCGCTAGTTTGAGCGCTTCGAATTTTTTGTGCAGGGAGAACGGAAGACGCGAGAATGCATCGTGCTCAACAGACTCCTGAATACCTCAATGGCGCGTGGCTCAGATGCCTCATCTCAACGAAGGACGTACGCACGCACGCAAGCAAGGGTCGAAACGACAACGCGTGGTGTCGTTACGCAATGCGGCGGCGCCGTCGCAATCGGACGAAGTTTGTTTGGCGAGTGAACACCAAACTCTACTCCCAGCCGGCCGTAGTGGTTTCTTTGAATCGGCATTCGGCAACCGTGGGTGGACGACTCGATAGCAACTGGCGAGGCGTAAGAGCAATGGGCTGGGCGAAGCGAGCGAGGCTGGTTGGATTGGCGTGGTCTAGCATCGCAACTCTCACTCCAGCGCTAGCCAGCCAGCCAGCCATCTCGTCCGCCTCGAAACCATTACTCCGTAGACATGGAACAAATCACCCACATTAACGACCTTGACACCTGCGACTAGCGAGCAGAAATGTGTTTCTCATCGGCGCTGTGTGGGACGTTGTGGAGAAAGAGCAACGGAATGAAGAGGATGAGCATGAGGACCAGTGCTGCTCAATTGGAGGCTTGGTGGACATGCGTTGGAGACAGCTTGAATGGGCCATGTCCTACAGCAAGATCTCCAAAGACCTCCGTCCATGGATGAAGGAAAGCATTGAGCCGTCCACCAACGCACGGACCCGACAAAACTACCCCCGAACGACAAAACTGCCCCCAAAACTGCGACGTTCAAAGTTGCAAAGTCGACCAATCAGATTGCCAGGATCTGTGGCACGACACGACAGCCAGCCAATCAAGAACGGCCATGAACCACTCGACCATGCACGCTTTCAGTAATTAGATGTATATTGTCGAGATTGAGTAGTACAGGTAGCGAGCTCGAAGCTACTGCCACGACGAGAAGATGTAAGCTGTGCTTGATTACTCCTTGTTTGCCTCCTACAGCCTCGTACGTTGTGTTTTTCGCTCCCGTTCTACCAACTTGGACCGGGTACCTGGGGACGAACTCCTCGCCTCCTTCTATACCTTGTTTCTGCATCTCTCTCCTTCTGTCTCCAAGCAGTAAAATCCCCAACATCACCACTACGTCCAAAGTAAGACATGAGCCAGTGAAAACAACCATATCTACTAAGGCACAGTTGGATGCTCCTTGTACGCACGCCCCCTAGACCTTTAAGCTCCCACACAACCACCTTGTCTACCACCCCATTACGCCTTCAATCCCAACATCAAAACCGCGACGTCTGAAGTTATCAAGCAACCAGCAACACTACTCCAACCCAACTAAAAAAGGAGCTCCCAAACAATAGAGGCGCTTAGTAGGCACAGGGGGTCGCAAAAGAAACGGCAACCAGGGGGAAGACTAATGGTGAACGTCCGAAGGACCGAGCTGGCGAGATGAAGCCCCCAAAGATTTGTCTTAAACTGATGGGAAGACGAAGGCGAGATGAAGCACTCAAAGATTTGTCCTGGACTAATGGGAAGATGAAGGCGAGATGAAGCCCCCAAAGACATGTCTTGGACTGATGGGAAGACGGAGGCGAGGTGGCGGGCGCAATCAACGGCACCGCTGCGCTCAGGCGATATTTAGCGAGGAAGTCGAGATGGCGTGTGTATAGGGAGTCATCGAACACCTTGCTACTTAGGCGAACACTTGAATGTTTGAGCTTGTGAAAAAGATGGCTTCAGGGAGCATTATTCAAGCACCCCACGGCGCCTTGGGGTCGCCTTTTTTTGCGACTTCCTGTGGGAGGGCGGTGCGCGTATAGGGAGCATGCAGTCGCTCAGCGCTAGAGGAACATTCGGAACTCGCCCATGGAGAGGACTGTACAATGCAAACAAAGAGCCATCAAGCGCAGCGGCGCCTCTTTCAAGATTTTTTTTGCACTGATTACATTATGCCTTTTCATCGTATTCTCTGCATCATGTATACTTTTTGCCACTCGCACACAACAAGAGAGAACACACACACCTCTACCTCTTTAACCACTGTTGAGTTTTGACAAACGGGGATTTTTTAGTCTTCATCTTGATCCCTTCTCCTGCCATGACACAATCGCATTTACTACCACCACCACACTTTTTACTACTCGCACCCAACAAAGAAGAAGAAGACGACGAAAAAAAGAAAACTTTTCCTCCCATCACCCTTTGTTTCGCTCGAAGCGAAAAAAAGATCAGAAAAAGCGAGGGCCCTCCCCCAGCAAAAACAAAAGGAGGAGGGCCGGCAAAAACTGTACCCATCATTACAATTCCATTACCGACATTGCTCTCTCTCGAGCATCTTTGCGAGAAAAACGAAGAACAGAAAAAAAGCCTTGTAGAGCCAGAGAGCCGAGACAGAGGAGATAACGGGTGACGAGAATGGGGATTCCATCCTTCGATCGCTCCCTGCACCTACAGTCTCAAAGATCGAGAGCAAAGAGCGCCCGTCATTGCGCAGTCCGGAATGCAAGAGCACAAGCAAACGGTGGAGAGTATAGAGCGTTGTAGCAACAAAGGGGAAAAAACGCGCTCTCTCCAAAAACGAATATGCAATGAGCGACAGCCCGGCCGTAAATGGGCGGAGGGATATATGATGCAATCGAGGTAAAGACTGTTGTGAATGGATAAACGCTCAGAATGTTTGAAGGAATGATGTTCGGCCGTGATTATAAACAGGTTAAGTACGTGGGATGCGGTAATACCGGTGGCGGCGGCGGCGGCGGCGGTCATGTCGAAGCTGGCATCACAGGGAGCATTCAGCAGTCGCGTCGTTGACACCGTCGAGTCGTTGACAATGTGAATTCCGGCGGGTCGTAAAGATCTGTCTCATAGAGACAATATTCCGAGAGACACCATAAAGGGCGCGGGGCTGTATCCAAGGAGCAGTCGACGTTAGCTCCAGTGGCATCCTTTGGGGCGTAAACTTGTAGTCGTAAAAGAAGCATCCTCACTCAAAACCGCCGGGCATCGAGGGTGCTGCCGACCGCCGCTTGGTCCTTTGAACCGAGTCTGGCGTCATTGGCCGGTCGCTGTCGGACGAGATGCGCTCAACGTGCTGGACCTCGTCGGGCAGGGCGTGCTTTTGCGCAGAGAGTTCCTGGGATCGTCGCAACGTCTCGTTTTGCAGCTGCTTGGCAGCCTGTGTTTCGATGCGTCGCTCGTCGTCCGAGTCCAGAGCAATGGCCGAGTCCTGCTTGTGCTCATGGTGGATGAGGGGGGCGGCGTGATCCGTGTTGATCGTCTTGTCAAAAGTCAAACGTTGCTTTTCATGTGCATCCTGAAAGACGTCGTGTGCGTCTGTGGCTTGGTCCTGCGTTCCCGTGTGGCTTCCATTGGGTTCCTGCTCATGAGATGTAAACTCACTCTCGAGGCTTCTCCGCGGCAGCTGCGAGCTTTCTGCCTTGCTCCGCCTCCGCTGGACAAACGGACTCTTTGGGCTACCCTCCTTGTCCGCGCCGTTGGCCAAGGAAAAGTTGGGAACGACGCCACCGCCAAGCCTGGCCCAAAACATGCGCTCTCTCAGCTTGACCGTCTCTTCCCATGCCGTCTTCTCCTCATCGCCATTCTCGGCGCGCCAGTGACCATCTCGGCACATTCGCAAAAAGGCAATGTAGTCGCAGCAGCTACGCACGCGCGTCAAGCAAAAGTCGCAAAGCGGGTAGCGCTGGGCATCTCTTTCATCGGATGTCCGGAAGCGGTGTTTCCTTGCATAGGGATCTTGGCCGTTCTTGTCTTTGACCCGGGAAA